CCCTTTTCCACTAAAACTGTCCAACTTTTTTTTTTTTTTAAAGATGTCCAATACCTAAAAGTGTTCAAGAGCAGCTGCACCACCCTGCGATTTACAGCCAGGGTCTCCACCCTGCCAACCCACCCCCGACTCCATTAGCAGCAGCAGTTTGACAAGCTGGAAGGATCCGTAAGTATTTGCAAGAGTCATGGTACTTTGGAAAGGTAAAATTACAGTATTTTCCTGAAGAGCAGAAAGGTCAGAAATCACCGTCTTCGAAGATGTCTAAGGACAGTACTGAATTACTCACCTTAGTTAATGACCGGCTCCCTTCTCGACCGTGGCTTTTGGAAAGCAGGAGGTAGTAGTGCCAACGCACATTTGGCAAGCCTCTCAGATGATTAAAGAACAAAAACAAAGCCTATACACTAGTTCTGTACACCTCTCCGACGTCTCTGGCTGTAGATAAAGCACAAGGACACCTTATCTCCTACTGGATACCTAGAGGAACTGTCAAAACCATTTTGTCCTGTGTTGCAGCCACTACAGCATACGAGCCTCCAAGGTTCAGTTCTTTACCAGATGGAACCCTGCTTCTCCTCCCCTCAACCATTTTAACCCTTTTTTTCAAATTGCTGTTAAATAGCACTAGTTATATGTATCAGCATTTAAGATACCCAGCCACAGGAGAATGTACACCAGAGAATTTGTAAACATTGATGATAACTGGGTAGAAGAATCAATTTAATTTCCTAATTCAGTTACGTGAAACCAAAGACATACAGTTTAATTCACCAGCACTTCCTGTAAAATAGGTGCTTTACTACAGCAAAATAAATAGGCAGTTCAGATGCAAAGTCGTTTACGACGACTGTAAGGAGCTCACATTGAGTCATTTTAAGTAATACAGAAGTAGCAGTGGGCTGTTGAAAAAAACAATTTTTGATACTGTGACTGTCACCAAAGCACAGCAGTCTGTATTCCAATTCACTTTAAGATAGTATTTCATTTTAACTCTCTGGTTCACAAGTAACTTGTTCATAGACACAATTTCATAACCTTTTGCATCACTGAGGTCTCTCACTGTACCTTATCCCAGACTTGCCTGTGGGACCAGAGCATCTCTGTACTACAGTGATGCCCAGCACCGAGCCCATCTGGTGCTGCTAACGAGAGGGTTCATCAGCTCATGCCGAGCCCAGAACTGACACAGCATCTTCCCAGCTCAGCGAGCAGCACCTTGCAACGCCCTGTGCATGGTGGCTTGCCCAGTCTGAATGTTTAAACACTGGGAAGATACTCTGCAGTATTTACTAGGGCAACTGAACTCTCTTACTTTTAAGCAAGACAAACCTATTTACCTGTTTTACCTACAGACGGGTCATTTGCCTAATAAAGTATTGACAAGGTTTTAAAGCAGTCCAGTTACTCAAACGCCAGAATGCAAGTTCCTGTGAGAGCTGCTCCCAGCCTTGTTACCACTCAGGCTACACTATGGCTAGGAGCAAACCACTCCTGCCTGCTGACTTTTAGATGGGGTATGGAAATCCATCTTACCTGCCTTTTGGGGGATTTGTTTGCTGAAACCACTCCCACTTTAGTGGCTTGATAACAAGATGGCTTATGAGTAAGAGATACTGGTACAAATGCACCAGCTAGTCGTTCTTAAGTACTTAATCACTACAATGATCTTTCTGCAAAGAAGACAACATTGTTACCTGGACTTGCACTTGAATGGCTAAGAGTTCTGTCTCCCAAATCACAGAGAATGCAGACGCAGTCACAATTATATTCACATTAATCATTAACAGCAGAACAAAACCCGGTGACGAGATCTTTAGCAACGCATTAACAAGGGCATAATGTACACACTTTTATTTAAACATGGCAATTTACACAATAGCTAAAAGTTTGGTTTTTTTTTTTATTACCCCCTCAGGAAAACTTGTGTACCTGGATATCAGAATAAGCACCTAGTGTTTATAAATAAAGACTTTGCAGTATTATTTACTGCAAGTACTGGTCAGATCCTAAGCAATCTGGGCGCAGCGACACATGGATACAAATAATCTAATTTCTTGTGATTATCCGATTAGCTCATTGCTTCACCTCAGCAGTGGAGGTTTGGGTAACTGGTTATCTCTGAAACACTAGGAATGCATAGTTCATAAGGCTAAATACATTTGACAAAAAGGGACAAATCACAGTTGTGGTCTGAAATTATTGCAGTGCAAATTTAAAATCGCAGTGTCTTTAAAGCAGTGGAACATAATAAAGAGGTAGGTACTTTCCTCCTTGATGGTAAGAATTTAACATTGCTTAAGAGTAGTTCAAGCTAAGTAGCTTTATGGTAGATATCTCAGGTACACAAACAAGTCATGGCAGTCTGGATTAACTGGAAGATACTTAAAATGATATATAAAATGTTTCACTGGCATAAAAAAGTTATATTGCAAGAGGTTACTTTTTGTGGAATGAGCTATTATTCTTAACTTGAAATACACCAATTAAACTTTTAGTGACATAAAGCCGTATTTACCTTGATGTTCAATACTTTAGCAAGGTAACTCCCTTTGCTAAAGGGGGGGTCACTAAAGATCAGAAGACTGATGTTTCATGAAAATAAAATGCCCAGAGCAATGGCTTATGCTTCTTCTAAAAAGCAGCCTCTAATTATATGAACTTATTTATCTACCAGGATTGTCAAAAAAGCAATGAAGACCTAGCCCACTAATGGAAATTACTAGGCAATGCCAGAAAGAGAAAGCCACTTTTGGTGCAACTCTTGCACTATCTCCTCCCCGCCCCCTTTTTGTTCCACATTATGCAATTTTTAATAAAAATATTTCCTTCCTTTCTGAAGCTTGGCTCAACATTCTCTTCAAAAGTAGTAATATCAGCACTTAGTGCACCACTGAAGACTATCAGGTGTACTGACAAAGCAGAGAGAACATTTACATGAAGAAATGTCGTATTTTAAATAACACTTTTTTTTTTTTACAGATCAGATTACAAGATGAGCGTCAAGTTTCCAGATGATTACAACAATATCCCCTCTGACTGTAATTCATCAGTTATACCATCTAGCTTACTGAAACATTAACAGTGTACTTGCCTTTATACTGCAACGTGATTTAACTGAAAGGTGCTAAAATGAACACTCATATCATTTTCACTCATACACAAGATGTCATGCACAGTTTAGACATTAGATTTTAAATCTATTTACAATTTTACATATTTTACAATATATTTTTCATCTTTACAGCTACAGAATAAATTCAGACTAACATTGGTATCTTTTGAGTTTCTGCTGGAACTCAAAGTCTTTATGTTAAACTAATTATTAAAAACAAGTAAGTGCATGCCTAGAAGGAAGCTTTCAAGAAAGATGTCAATGGACTAGTGTTGCTTAAAAATTACACCGGTTTGTGTAGAAAATTTAAATTCAGTTCAAAAACTCACAAAAACCTAATAGAAATCTACTTGACTAAAATAAATACAATTCATTACATTTAACAAAAAAAAAAATGTATCTTTAAAAATGTACTGATTTAAGCTCATCTGATTTTTAGCCTTAAATTTACTTCCCTTCCCAAGTAACAGATAGTACTAGGTGAGGGTAATGATGCTTTTCAAAGTTAACACTGATAATTATCCTGCATAAACCTGAGGCTGCAGTGGTGGGGGCAGCTTGTCATTCTCCACATTTTCAGAGTCAATAGCTGCTAAGGCTTGATTTTTTGGTTTTATTTCTAGTGGATATTTCTCGACAATATCTTGGACTTCCTTTGTAATTCCATCAGTCCAATCTATTAGGTCTTTCTCAAGCTTCTTGGCTTCACTGACAATTCTTTCCTGTCTCTCATTCAACTGAGATAGTAGGTCTAAGTTTTTATACATTTGCTTAACACCCAGGCACACATCAGGTGAAAAACTGTCAGATTCTTGCTTCTTCGGGGATGTCTGACCAGTCATAAACCGATCAAAATCTTCTTGACTTAAATTTAAAGACTGAGCATCCAGTTTTTCAATGAAGGCCACAGCACAGCACTGCAAACAAAACAGAGTGAGTATCATTGCAAGGTACCGATTGGAACTTATGCATTCTATTTTTCAATCCTGCTGTTAGACCAGTAACTGATTTTTTTATTTAATGCCTCAACAGATTGCTCCTTTTCCAGAAGCTAGCTATATAAGACAGTTCACATGCGCCTCTCCTCTCCCCAGAGTTTGAAGAAGTCAAAAACTCCGAGAACGATATAGGAAGACACCATTTCAGCTGAATGGTATTGACTCACTGGATAATGTCCATTACAAATCTCAGGGTCACTGCATTTTGGAGGTGAGAGACCAGAAAGGACAAGACATGACAACTAGACAGGAGCACTATATTAATATTTAATAATCTGGTCAGCAGAGATCTGCTATGGTCTCTATTCATTTTCTGAAGGAAGGAACGTCAAATGCTCATCTTACCTTGAGGATGCTCTCCTCCTACTGAAAGGAATTTTTAACATTCCAAGTATTTCATTCAACTACATATTCTCCCTCGAGAAAATTGCTTTACAATGAAATGCAGAGAAGCCAAGTTCATAATCGTAATTCCTTCTAATATAAACAAGCACACCAATAAGTGCCTCCTGCAGAAGCTTTAAAAAGCCTGTTTACCTCCACACATGAATGGCCTAGTTCTGCAGTCCCTACAAGAAATACAATCTCATGGGCTTAAACGGGGAACTTTGCATCCGTAACATCTGCACAGTCCAAACTCAGGACTTTAGGAATAGAAAGTATTTATCTCCTTACAGAATAAAAATATACTCAAGTCTTAGCATCAGACTATTCAAATAAAGGGTTTAATATTATCAAGAAAGCAAAGCACTGGTTTGGAAAGCAGAGAAGGAAGAGAGAGGAGGTATAAAGCAAAAGGGCTTGCTGTACACTAAGTAACCTCAACCACTATTTGAAGAGTAGTTTTCATTTTCCTTCTGTGTTATACTGTGTTTGCCTTTACTGGAAATTCCTACATCCAAATAAAAGACAATCTTGTTGTATAAAACGTCAACACTATTCCTGCACTTACCAGATTGGTAAAATAGTAGCCGTCTTCTCCTGTCATTAACCTGCTTGGATTACAAAAGCGTGTTATATACTGGATGTTAGACTGCAAGCGAGGTGGGTTTCCCTTCAAAACAATGTATATAAGTGTAGGAAGAAAGTCATCAGCAGAAGCTGGTTCATTTTTTGTGATTTTAATAGCATTAAATATATGCTTGCTGCACTTGGTGATGCATGCTAATTTATCACGAGGGACACGCTTGGAATCCATTTCAATAATATCTGTAAGATAAAAAAATCCTCAAATCATTAAAACCGTATTAATCAGACACCTGAATGAGTAGGACACTTACTGGACAATACTAAAATTGCATCATTTTTATCTGTGGTTCTTGATGTTCCATAAAAAGTATCTGTTTATTCAACCTTCTCTTGGTTCAGTCCAAGTATTTCAAATAGATCAGGTAAGCCTAAACACCTCTGTGATGGAAAAATTATTCCTGCTTCATAGATGATATACTAGTCCAATACCACAAAGACTACTGCAAATCTAAAAGCCTGGACCCCCTTCTTTCGACAGCAGAAAATAATCTCTATGAACAGAAGATCTGAAATTTAAGGCTGTAAATGTAAACTTCATTGTTCACAAACCTGTAATTGCTTTTACAACCATATCAGAGACTTCTGGAATTTCTTCATTGACAGGAACACACAGCATTTGCGGAGTTACCCAGTGCAAAGCCCTATGACAAGAAAACATGTTAAACTGTTCTGTGCCAGTAACATTCAGGTATTTGAAACCAGCTGCTTCTTGAATTCAATGCACAAGGAGTGCTTTGTGTAAATGAGGCACTAGTCCAGTTATAAGGTAGTTTATTCCGCTGAAGTAATTTATTTCCAGAAAAAATATTTTCTTTTTTTGCTATAATTTAACAAAAGCACACCAATTAGTTTTCCTAGTGTGGTAGCTTTCATTATTCATTCTATTCATTCCTTCTGTTTCTTAAATAAAGTGTTTTTAACTCTTTCTAGTTAAAAAGCTTGCCATTTTTGTATGTACAGCAAAAGATTTTTAATGTCTTGATTCATAGCTCATTCACAGGACTGTGGATTACTCAACTATTTTTCTTTCAAAGACTTACCTGATTCTCTTTTGGACAGCAAGATCTTTCTTCTCATCATCAGTTGTCTCAGGGCAAAAGACATATTTATACTGTCGAGTCATAATGTATTTTTCAATCTGATCCATTGCTTTCTCAACTTTTTCAGGGGGCACTGAAAGGTACAAATCCCACCCCAATACAGTAAATAAAGTATTCCGTGGCTATTTTGAAGATTTAATACAGTTTGGTCCTAATATCACCAAATCAGTACTACTGACTTGAGCCACCCTGAGTTAATGGATATACTTGGAGTATTTTCATTCTCTACAGGAGAAGTAAAAATATAATGGCGAGAACACCACAGTGACATGCCAAAATAAGTACATGCATAGGTTCACAAAGAAGCACATTCATTTAGCACATTCAACACACAAATTGGGTTCAGCTGCTTGCAGCTTACAAGAATATTTCTTGAAAATACACTCTTTGAAAATAAATCCAGTGAGGTCTTCCAAGTCCTCTGTTCCTGTTTATGTCTAAAAAAAATCCCTGGGTATGTTTAAGCTGGGCCACTTGCATACCAGGCACATAAAAGCAGTCCACAACAGCACTCCTCTCTCACTGGCTTCTTGTGCATTACAGGGTAACATAAGGCTCACAGCCTGTTAATTGGGTTGAGGCTACACATTCAACTTCAGTTTTAAACAAATAGTATTGAATTTAAAACAAGAAATGAAAACAACTGAACCACATTTAATTCAGAGTTTAAGAAAAACCTGTAAAACCAAATAATTTAGACTGCAAAACTTTATAGAACTGGTGCTGCTGGGAATAGTTCTGACTATGGTACTAGAATTTGTTAACAGCATTTCTGAAAGCTGGTTAGGAATGCTTCATTTTTACTTGAAAATGCAAGAGGCTTTACCCTCAAATCATTACTTTTTCAGCAGTAAGACATGAGGAAGAAGAACATGGTACCTTTCCAACGTGTCTGTAATTTCTCTGCTACATTTTGATAGAAGTCCTGGGCACATTCAGATTGCTCCTCAATACTTAAGTCCTGTAACAGAAAACTGATTAAATGTGCACGTGTGGAAGAAATGGCAGCAATGCCTTTGATGTTTTGTTTTTGTTTAAGGAAAGCGTCCAGCTGCACTAACAGTCTGAGAATGCAAATATATCATCAGAGGTGTTTATGTTGGCTAAATTATATTAAAAAATATGAGAAACCAAGACATACTGGCTCTTTAACATGTGAAAGACTTAGGTTTATTTGCTGAACAGATGTATTTAGCAATGGAATTGGACAGGTGCAATGCCATTTTCCCCACACACATCCCTGAGTAACGGTGACAAAATAATGTAGGTTATTAAGCAGAATGCTTGCTCCCAATTTTGTGTCTGTAACTTTTTAAAAGATGATATACAGTATACCAAAAAACCAAGAACATACATCATGTATTTGAAAGAATATCTATACAGTAAACACTTCTAATGATAAAGTTACTATGAAATATATTCACAATGTTATTTGCGAAACAACATTGTCTTTTGAGCATTAACTAACTGAGCTACTGAAGAACAGAATGGAGGTTTGAAGGGTTAAAATTAACTTTACGGATCAAGTCACTTTTCACCATTAAATGGCAGCATAAAACCATATGTAAAAAAACAAATGGAGAGAGAATTTAGTTTCTGAATTCTCTAAGGCCAAAAACTAGACAGTTACCCTGAACACAAGCCTCAGCTCTGATGGCAGTGCTGCATTTTAGGCCTGGTTTACGTGTAGTAGCAAATTATATGTTTTGAGAAAGACTTCTTTTTGACTAGCAGAAACTATCAAGGAACCAGGAAATGAGAGTACCTTCAATGTTTATAACCAATAATAATACACTATTCTCACAAACTCTATGCTCAGAATGAATCAGTTCTAAAAGAAGAAAAAAAAAAAAACCCAACTTCAAGATGTTTTTGAAGTGGTGGGCATGTAAGGTTCCATCAAAACTCCCTTTAATTTCCAGTCCAACTGGAGGATATAATTTGAGTAATCACATACTAAATAGGAAAGGGGGGAGTGGGGGGGTGGCGTGGGAAGGTGTGCTGAATACTGACTCATTTCAACCATAGGTGGCACTACAGACACATTAATATTTCAAGAATATTAAATATTTACAAGGAGAATGAAGATGTAAGCCTTATTCCATATTAAAAAAAAGCACAGTCAAGTTCCCCCTCCCCAAAGAAAAGGAGACATGTGGTTTGATACTGTATTATCTTTATAACTTTTTAGACTTAAGATATCTAAAAACTTGTTATGTAATATATTGTAATTTCCACAAGTCATATTTATCTAGAAAATTGTTTGTTCAACAGACATTTTATCTTTCAGAACTAATTTATTCAGGATGCAATGGAAAGTTCTCTCAAGACACCTGAGATTCTGGGGTTTGAGGGTTTCTTTGGTCATATACCATACCAAAAAGGAAGGCATTCAGAATTTAAGACTGCCACTAGATCTTCATTTGACTAAGCATATCAGCTGAAGACTCCTATATACAATATATAAAAACCAAACTGCTGGAAGAAGAGCAGCATTTTCTCCATCTCTCCCTAATTTCCCTGTTTTATTTATGTAAAAGGCATGCAAAACTTACCCTTTTATGATTCATTGTGTCCAAAAATAGTTTACATTGCTTATAGATATCTTGTCCAGGTTTATGATATGTCTTGAGAAATTCTATGAATTCCTTGGATACTCGATCTGTCTCGATGCTAGCCTGCCTGTTTATAGAAGGGCTGGGAGCCTTGGCTTCTTGGATCTCTGCTGGGAAAATTTGGGCACATCAGATTAGAGTTTTTACACTGACAGATGAATTCAGGAAGCGTTTAACGTGTATTAAAATTTCAGGTTGTTTTTTCCAACAGTGCAGATGAATAAGCATTTATTTCTCAAGCTTTACCAGTGAAATGCTGGATATTATTAAACAGAACTCTAGGAAACTGAGTATTCCACTGAAGTGAAACATTTATAGCCACATACCCATTTACACTAATGGCCTTTTTATATTAGCAAATTACTGTAACATGGGTTTGTTTTCTCATTTCTTACATTTTCATTCCCAGGTAAGATGTCCCCATACAAGGTCTGCAGCATATAAGGATTCTGCAGCAGTTTAAGATAATGGAGGGGTCCCTTTTCCATTCTACCTCAGCTTTACCTTCCTGCTCCTTTGCTTGCACCAACACAAGTATTCATTCAACTGGCTCATGAACTATCTCAGGGAGTAGTAGTTTGGGGCAGTCCTAGTCAGAAATCAGTGGGTTTTATGGGGTTATTTTTCAGCCTGATCAGCTCCCCAGGCTGGCTTCCTACCAGGTCACAGGAGCAGCAGCACAAGACAAGGAATGGGAGCATGAGGTTGGTGCAAACGCAGCAGCCCTTCTTTGGCTAGGCTGCAGATGCCACAGAATCACACCTGCAGTGTAAATGAGAACTTGGCCATTTGTGTTTCAGCAAGAGCAGAAGCACCACATCTGTTCAAGGAAGAATTTGCTTGGCACTCAAGAAGGAGGTAGGAACACAGACTGCACACAGCCCTGGATGCAAGTTTATATAGCTGCAACCACGGGGTTTTTCCACACAAACACATCTGATTTTCCAAGGTGTAAGTTGCAAGTTATTTGTACTGATCCAATACCTTCACTACCCAAGTTTAGTTTACCCACCTTTCAACTTGCCAGCCAACACTGTTCAAAATGAAGGATTGAATAGAGATGATGTAAATGAACATGATGAAAAGCAAGCAGCAAAGAGACAGAAAACATGAAAATATTCATGATCAACATGATACAAACATAGCTTTCAATCTGAAAATACTAACACACACAACAAAAAATCCTTGTTTCAATAAGCATACATGCAGAACTCCAAAATAAAACGAAATAAATGGGATTAGTATATTTAAATTGGTATGTTTCATTTGAACTTGAGGTAGCTTATTGGGGGATTTGTTGTTGTTTACTTTTAAAGAGATCCAGCACTATAATAAATTCAAAGCTGTATGATCCAGTGACTAACAAACTGGTCATTTGACCAAAGCACAAGACTCATTAGCACCTCTACACTTCAGCATAACCTTCTCTGGGTAATTTGGCCAGGTACCATTAGAACATTTATGATATTTAAGTGATAAGAATGGAAAAGGTTTTACAAATATTTACATTCCAACTGTAGCAATCAAGACAGAAAGTGCAAATCAATCTCCTTTCTAGTTACACAAGATCACTTTTTCCAGAGGGGATTTCCTCCAACCTTCTTTATACCTAAGATTCAAAGTAGAATGCCTGTACATTATTCAAGCTGAACGGCTTAAATTACTATATGTTGATCTAAATTTGTCACGTTTAATATTACATAACCAGTAAGAAGAGAGCATAGTTTTGAAACAATAAACAAAGAAAGCAGGTACACTTTTGAAAGGGTAGAATAAGATTTTTTTCCACAATTAATCACTGACTTCATTTCAAAGAACAGCTGAAGATTTATTTACTTATTTCAATACTGAGTTCACTGTATTATAAAAATAATGAACCTCATTCCGCCATTTGACCTTAAAGAATATGAATAAGATTTTTTCAGTCATAAATTTGAAATAGATTATTTTTTAGTTACTGGAGGGATGTAATCAACTAAGGCAGATTACTGTTAATGTAGGCATTAAAAAAAATTGAATGTTAGAATGAACTGTCTTTTTAATGACTCACACCGAGAATGACACATAGTCACTCAGAAACGTTGCAACTTCATTAATCTCTGCATTGAAATCCTGATTTAAGGAAAATGAATCTGTACAATATGCACTGATTACTAAGGACCACAGGAACAAATGTACTTTCAGTAACAAAATATTTTCAGCTTTGTCATGTACTCTAAAAGAATTAAGTCTAACTAAAAAGAAGCTGATTACAGAAAAGAAATTCCATCTCAACAAGTTAAAAGAGAACCTAGTAGAGGAGGTATGCCAAAATGAAAAGAAAGAGTATGGGAACAGTTAAGAAAGAATCACCTTTACAAAGAATAAACACTATTAATATTAAAATCTTTCTCAAGGCATTCTACAAAAATGCTAGTTGTCACAGCAGAACATTAGCACTCCAGTGATTCACTATGGTTGTGCCATGTCATGGATCTGAGTCCAAGTAAAGAACATAAAAAAAAGTGTTGTCATTAGCTCTACTACACACACCCATTCACCTTCTTCATATCATTTGCAAAATAAGAATGGTACATCTTCAAATTTCTTTAGTTACCAGAACACGTCAGAATTGCAAACAAATAACATAGGACAAGATCCTAAAGCCGTTTGCATCAAGGGTTTTGGCATTCTTTTGGTTTAAATGAAACCAGTATGTCTTCTCTTGATTTGAAGTTGTCTTCTTGATTAATATCACAAACATCTGGAGATGTTTTGAGAATGCACAAGTTCTTGAAGTGTAAATTATTACACTGAAGTAGTTTCAACTTATAATCAGATTTATAATGGCAACCTGGAATTATTTTTTGATAAAAATACGAAGCAGCACAAGATCTAGCTACTCCTTACAAACATTCTTATGTTTTTGAAACTGTATAATCCTTCAGAAGTCTCACTAAGGTAGAGCTCAAAGAAGCTTCAGCTTTATTCCTATACTCTCCCTACCAAAAAGCAATGAATTAGTTTAGAGATTCAAGTTCACCTCAAGATGCTAGACTTGCTTTTTTTGTCATCTTCATATGCAACAGCACAAGTTTGAACTGGCACAACCCTAGTTTGTATTTTGCAAAGCCCAACTAAGAAGTAAGCTTACTAAAATCAGGCAGACAGCTTGCTCAAGCTGTACTGCATTACCTTCAGTAGGGGAAGCCAGTTCCCAGGAGGGAGTAAAAATCTCCTTCAAATCCCTGAGAATGTTATCAGCATTTCGCTCCCTCCCAAGCTGTCCTTGCTTAACGATTTTCTCTTGAGCCACTGAAATAAACGCAAAAGCAAGCAAGACACCAGGAGCGGGAGCACGTCAGGAGAGATGGTGAAGGGAATAAAAAAAGAAAATATGGAAAGTGAGAAGAATGAACACAAAAAAAGTTTTTAATACATAGCTGAAAGCCTCATTTAGCCAGCTGCTGCCCATGCACCAAGACAAATTCTAAGATGAAACTCAGACATATTTAGAATTTCTTATTAAGGAAATGCATCGTCTATAAGGCTAAGATACATTAATGTTTCTTTTTCTTCTGGAATGCCTCCTCCACAGTCTAGCATTTTCCATTTTTTGCCCATGTAAGCTATTGCTATACAAAGACATCAGTGCCATTAATCATTCTTACTTATAACACATGCTGTAGAATAAACATTCAGCCAACTACTAACTTGATATTCACAACCCACATACACATAAACACTACAAGTTTCCTTTCACATTTATTTTCATTTAAAGGCACCCTGCTTACACATTCCATTTTTTCTGTTAAAGCTCTTGAAGTGATCTGTTATGGCAGCAGCATCTGATATTCTATATCAGCATTTCTATCACTCGTAGACATACCAGTTTGTTCAGGGTGACTGACAGCCAGTACCTCTTCTCCCGCTTTCTTCAGGAAGAGTTCCCCCTTGAGTCCTAAACTACAGTATCACACTATGGTTGACTCATGAATCTAGCAAGAATGTGCATCAAACAAACAAGATACTTCCACTCAACAGTGCAGTGGTAGACCACCACCAGGAATGTATTTATACTACACTTTAGTGGAAGAACTCCTGTATAACTGACACAAACACGGCCACAAATTTAGAAGTGCACTGTTCTATTTAAAAGATTGTTTGGCATCACCCAAAAGCTCACATTTTTTCAGTGTTTTCAGTAAGACTTCACATATCGCTCTCCAGAAGCATCATATTCCAACTTCTTAAAGTCAAGTCACAGAGCATTACTCTGCCTTTCAGTACAATACATCTATCAAAAATACTTTTTAAATTAACATGTTGTACAGAACCATTAAAAGCAAAGGAGAAAGTTACCCTTCTTAGCTCCTGTTCTGGAAGAAGCAGTGAAGAACTTCTTCACAGTAGTGACCTTTCGTGTTTTCTCATTGGTTTTCTTTTCTTCAAATTTTGAAAAGGTCAGTGACTGGGCCCCTTGGGTACTCTGACTACTGGCATATGCTTCTTCCTCCTCACGCTGAAGCCTAGAATTAGAAAAATGTAGGTCTAATTTAAGAGCTTAAAACCAGCACAAATAAGATAATTTCCTGTACAATAAATTAATTACTCATTTGACACGCTAATTCTCCTCTATACCCATCTTCATTTCTTGCTTCCTACCACATCTCCCTGCATTAAGTCCACTTTTTAAGTCCGCTCTTTCCATGTTATAATGGTGAGAGTGAGGGAAAGCTTAAGATGGCCAGGGAGGACTAAATAGTAAGGTCAAAAGGGAGGAAGTATAATCATGGTCACCTTCCCCTCATGTCACAGCCCTGAATTCTACACAGGTAGAGGTGAGGGGAAAGACTGCGGGAGCGCTTCCAATAATCAATTCAGTCGCCTTCCTCCCTGCATCCTGTTCCGAGTTTCACCACCTATTACCACAGGCAATCCTTTACCATCTTACTGAAGATAAAACCCATGGCTCGCAGCTGAGCAAGTAAAATACTCTGTCACAATCTCAGGAATATTCTGGGAGACATTATTATTGTCATAATTTGTTTTCAAGGTCTTGGTAATACATATGCTTGATTGAATGAACAAGGCAAATCACTTCTCTGCAACGTTGATGGATGCTTTGCAAAGACCAAGTCCATCTTTTAATTTACATGTACAAAGTAGGGGAGGGCAAACATACTAATCCTTCAATGGCTACTTTTCTTCCTATGCAGGAGGATTAAAATAGGTTAAATTATATTGCCCTTCAAGATGCTAAAAGGTTGAGCAATTTTCTTTAAAAATCCATCCAGCTCAGGATGGACCATGAATGGTCTTGCATTTGTAATCCCTTGAGACAGGAGTTGTGTCTTATCTGTGCTGACAAGCCTGTCTGTTCACTACAGCAAACAATCACAGCTTATCTCTTCCTTTAGCATCTTCCTACTGAACAGTTACTCATTAAAGAATTCTTTAAATGCCCCATTTTCTTGTACATAGATATTGTAAGACTGACAGCATAACTATCCGCTCTAGTAATACCGAAGTCCTTATTAACTGTTTAAGCCAAATTCATGGCAGAGAAAAAAATGACATGTCCTCTGTACTGTACTCAACAGCTTACCTGGCACCTTCTGATTAGGCTAAAAAAGGTTTCAAGCACTTCTTTCTACCTGTCTTTGCAGTTAATCTGTTCCAGTGCCAGACAGTAAAGAGAACTTTAAAAACAAACAAACAACTTCAAGGCCTAAGGTAAGAGGGTCTAGGGTAGTTAGGATACCAGAAAGTTTGGGGCTTCCAAACCCTAACCATGAGTTTGAACCCAACTCAAGAACGGAGAGCTTCCACAGATGTCACCTTCTTCAGGCAGGCTGATGTGAACACTGCACTTAATGCCTTTTTTTTCCTTCCCCTTCCCTCTTCTTCCCCCCCCCCCCCCAATGACCTTGGTTAATGTATCACTAGGTAAACTCAAGTTCACCGAAGGGTTCCAGACTCAAGTGCAGACATGTGTCTCAGTCATTTGCACTTTTTCCTAGAGTTCTGGTACACATTAAGGTAAGCATATTTAGAGAATCTGTGTCAATATGAACAAACATCCTGGCCAGCTCAAGTCAACTGCCAATCAATTCTTAAACACAGCTAAATGCTCCTCCATCTCAAGAATTCACATAACCCTGAAACAGTTAATTCTGAATGGATGTCATGTAACTCACACCTGGAAGTGACACAAAGGACAGCTGCAGTGCAAAAGAGGATGCTTTGCAGTGGATAATGCTTTTGCTTTCTACCCAAATCCAACAAAAAGCAGCTGTAGCTGTTCTTATTTTCTCACTCAAGCATAGATTTCCTCTAACCCCCATTTTCAGGGTCAAGCATTTATCACACTAGGAAAACTAGACTGTTTTGCAGAAAATACGTGCTTAGAAAAATTACCTGAATTATTAAAGCTAAAGCTTTGATGCTTTTGGGCTTAACCCTGCAGTTTAAAAGAACGACTACAGACCCAATTTTTTTTAATCAGTAGCTGAAACGTAAAACCATTGTGCTGGCTATATTCAAGACAATAACTGTGGTCTCCAGAGGCAGAGGTATTTTAATCAAAATTGTCACTTGCACCCTTCCAACCTCTAGTTAGAATTACAGATTTCAGTATGCAAATTAGGTCAAAGTATTTGTTGAGAGGTTGGGGGGGTGTTTACATTTGTTACTTCACAGACTTTCTTTTGAAACCTCTTAAATTAGAATGTCATAAATATTCACCTTTGCATCAAAAGAATTCCTGCTGGAAAGGTCAAATTTGAGAATTTATGATGCAACTAAGCTAGAGCAAATAGGACTAGAAAATAGGAGACAGGAATAGTATTTAGTGAAGTCACCCTACTGTAAAGACGAAGGAATAAAGAGGGCTCTTTACCGCTCTGCCAGCTCCCAATCCTCTTGAATCTGTTTCTGCCTGGCCTTATGGTATTCCTCTCTCCAGCACTTGGAGCAAAATCCCTGCCAAGCAGGATTGCCATAGTAACCACATCCTTTCTTGCACAGTAGCTCTGACTGATCAACGTGAATTCCTCTGCGTTCAGATTTCAGGTTCATTTTCTTCCTGTTTAAAGAGAAAAGGGTTAAAGACAGAAACATGATAACAGCCTGCTAGAAAGAATTTCTTTTGAAGGCTTATCTTTTAGAAAGAAGTCACCTGTTTTAATTATTGAATAGTTCCACAGCAACAAAATAAAGGCCGCAGGAGGAAGGGCACAGTTATATAATCATACAGCCCCAAAAGCCAACCGCAGCATTAGCATACGTTTGTATAGCTTTGACCTGCAAACAGTACTAGACAGCTGGCCTAGAAAGCAGGCCAGCAGTACCAGTCATACAGCTACGTACACATGTGGAAATAGGCACAATTCTCTGATCTCACCAGCACACTATTCTAACAGTCACAGAGACACAAAGCAACAGAGGAAAAAAGAAAGTTACAGTCACCACCAAAGAGAAGCCAACTGAGTAAGAGACAAAATGTAAATAGGCTTGTAAATGTATTCAGGCTGAGACTGTCTCTGCAAAGAATTACACTAGTGAGACTTTAGGTAACATATCTTTGGCCTCAGAGAATATGTCTTCGCAGCACAGTGAAGTATCACAGCTTACTCAGCAGGGTATGTTAACACGGATGAGATGCACCTCCATTTCCTTCAGTACTCAAGTTACTTTAGAGTTAAGTTGGGCATCTGTATAAAGCACAGTTCTATAGAATTTATATACATATACACATATATATAGTGACTGCAACAAAAAGATTTGTTTTCATGCCTACACTACCACCGCGCAGAGCTTGTCTTCCAACAATCCAGCCCTCCCCTTTCTTTCTTCGCTTGACAGAAACCATCCCACACGCCAGCTTGCTCTCAAGGACATTTCAACTACTTCATTCTAATCCTAAATGCTGGATTCATTTTAGGAGAGAAACAGCACAGGATCCCCTGCACTAGTAAGTTTAAGGTCTGCATATTAAAACATTGACATTTGGATTGCAATATTGACATACACAGACACTACAAATAGCACAGCAAGGCACTGGAAGGCAGGTCTTGGTCATTAAACCCAGCCCCTTTTTTTTTCTGCCATCTTCAGCAGAGAGTGCTTCGCATAAGCTGAGCAAGCACCTTCGCATTTCAGTTTCTTGCTCTCACATTCACAACCAAAGGCGCCCCTAGGACTTCCTTGCTCTAACAGGAAAACCAGAACATTTTTAAACCAACACATTTTTAAACCAACACTGCCCGCAGTTTGAATACCCTACTCTCCCCTCCAGCACATTACTTAAGATGACAGAAGGAAAACAACATACATTGAGATGCAATGTATGGAAAGCAAGATGAAAAGCGATTTTCTTAAATTAAAGAATGTCAGTAACTGTCAGAGCAAACTTGTTTTTCCCCGAGATTCAGAATGACCCCCTAAGTTCATATGCTTGAGGAATCTGGATCTCTGGTTGTTCATGCTTCTGCCCAGCAAAGGTTACTCAGCCCTGGAAGCTCTTGCACTCAACAGTCTCAGAAAGAGCCCCAGACTCTTCTCTGGGTCATCCAGCAAAACAATGTAATATGCACAACTGTCATTACCAAAGATAGTTTTCTACTACAGGAAGTAACAGCTATTTTGTTCCAAGCTGAATTATATGAAATAAACCATTTTAAAAGACTGATACTGTTTAACATCTCCCATTAAAGTTATTTTAAGTAAAATAACAGGAAACACGTATGATTTTCTCTGAGGGGGAACAAATTAAATATTCCATCTTATCTATGTAAGTATTAAGGCTCCTTCCACTAACAGCTTTTCTATCTTTGAAAGAAGTAATGAGTTTCTAAAAATAATCTAAAAATAGTTTCATTGTAGAGACCTGTGTATTAAGGGAATCAGTTTCTTAATGGCATAATCTATAAAGACACATTTTCTCATTTACATAGATGGAGAGCAGCTGAATACTCTTTTCTTTCCCACAGAAATGTCTGACAGTTAAACAGACATTAATATGCTTCTGCAAAGCAAAATGAAAAAACCAGCTAGATTTTAAATATTTGAGACAGCTTTACTTCATTCCCATATGGACATATTAACAGGGGAAAATAAGTACATTGCCTTCACAAAAATCTTTTGGTTTCTGTACTATCTTCATTTTCTGATTCCTCAAGTAAGGTCTTTATGTTGACTATAAATGGCACATAGATCTGGTGACTGACAATCTATCTAGCAGACCAGAAATTAAACATCAAATGTTTGTCAGCTGCACAGCCTTGGACAGAAATTGCATGTTGGCAGTATTTGGAAACACAGCCCATTCTCAGAGCATCACATATGCCCTTTATTATCAATTCTGAAAAGCAAAAGCTTAAAACTCTTCAGTTGCTCCTGATCCAGTTTAAAGACCACTTCCTCAAAACAGAAGCTGCAGCAGCATTTGCATTAGACACTTCTATTGCAAGTGCCTGTACTAGAAAAAAACACCATGCACAAAATTTTCAATATTGCCATTAATGGTAAAGCTGATCAGTCTGAATGTTTTCATTGTAAACTACAGGGAGCTATAAAGACAAAACAGACATAACACAAACTTCTGAGAAATTTTACACCGATCTGTATTACCCAAGGAAATAACATCCCTGATCCTATCACTCACTACAATGGAGTTAAATTACAACAGTTTTGCAATTGCAGTCTGTAGGCCAATTTCATGAATTCAGGTGTCTGTTGTTCTTATTCAAAAGCACCGTGCTTTGGACACTCAGATTTTTTGAAAACTAAAGGAGTAGTATGAAATACATGACCTTGCTTTTATCCCACATCAACATCTTGCTTTCTGAAAGCTTAACAGCATACTCGGTTTCTATGCCAATTGTGCACTTTCACTATCTCTATACAGATGCACAAAAATTAGCTTTCTGCATCCACAGAGCTTTAACCACATACTAGAGCCACAATTACCTTTGGTATCCTGCTAGCCCTTTGTGTACATTAGAACTAAAAATAAGGTTCTGTTTAGTGTCAAAGTTCAGCAGCTTCCTCTGGAGTAAGCAAAGCCAGTCTCTTAGAAGCAAGATTTTTTTTTTTTTTTTTTTTGCATTCTTTCAGGAGAGGTTTGTAAACAGCTGCAAAGCCAAGCCATTAAAAAGCAAGCTGTTCTGTTTCCTCCCCTTCAAGTATTTTCGATTGCAGTTACATCAGTTTCAGATCCAGGGACAAAAGAGGTCACCCTGAATCAATATGAAGAAATCACATGCTGCACTTAAAGCAGAGGTTTTCTGCTTCCTTTAAAGGCATACGGCCATTACAAAAAAAGTTTCACAGCTAATTTTTGCAGGTCTGCATTTACATTTTAATTAACAGAACAACTCAAGTTTTAATAAACTGAATATGAAAAATCCATCTCAAGTAAACTTTCTGCAACTACATCACTGTATACTTTATGATCTTTCATTCCTAAAAACGTTTTGTTGGAACTTTTGAGTGTTTGAAATGCTTTTTTCTTTTTCTCCTTTCTTTCTTTCTTCCCTTCGCTCCCTCCACCTGCAGTGAAAGGTATATCATTCTTTATTCAAAGATCAACTACTCAATGTATTTGCACAGTCACACCTCTTATTTCGCGTGGTCAGACCTCTTATTTTCATTCCTGCCCTGAATGCATGACCTGTTCAAAGTTCACTTCTGAGTAACATAATCCAAAAGAAAGAACAAATTTGTTGTTTTTCGGGAGTCGGAGAGATAGGCAACTCTGAACAGCTTCCATACTGCCTGACCACCGAGAAGTCAGGAAAACAATAGTAAGGAAGGTAACAACCTTCCACGTTTTAAAAAAAAAAAAAAAATCTAATAAAGAAGGACAATAAAGTACCAGAAGATCATGAATAAAATTAACTAGTAGAATTTGGAGAGTTGCACTGCACCAAACATCCTTTTTACATCTCTTGTATCCTAATTAAAACACTTCTCAACGACTCCAAGAAGCACCACGTCTCCCTCCCAGGACCAAACACGTGTAATTTAAAGTATACTCATACATTGCTTTCCTCAGTAGGTGCTTCAAATAGTTTTGCTGTGAATATTGACAGGGAAAGCAGAAATGACACTTTCTTACACAGTTCCTCACAAACACCATGATATAGAATCTTCTTTTAAGCATTTCTGTACCAGTACTAGACCTCATCAAAGGTTAATATCTATGTTCATTAGTATCATCGCTTTGAGAAGTTTAGAAAAAGAACAGGCTCTTAGACTTAGTTATTAATTTATAAAATCCCTTTCCCCTTGTTACTTGTTTGCAAGTAAAAGCTTCTTCCCTCCCATTTTCCGCTGAAATGGAAAAATGGAAAAATGGAAAACACCTAACCCCTTTCTATGATCACGATCTTTGAACTCCACCTAACACACCGTGTGTGTGGTTCCTTAGAGGGTAACTGCTAACATGTGCTGTTACATCATGGCTGCAAACATGGATTTATTCTGGACAATTACAACATGGAAAGCTGTCCCATTGCTGGCAATCAGCGTATTTGTACCACAGCTAACAGAGGACTAGACTGTATGGACACCAAAGAGCTCCTTGTCTTACTGCCGCATGCATTCCCGGGCCCGTACCCACCCGGCCTAACAGCATACTGACTCCAAGCTACAGCACGAGCTGCCCGTGGCTACATCTTTCCATGCTCTTCTAGATGTCAAGCTTTATTTTTCCAAACTACAGTGATATCAAGAGCAGATGAATACTTGTGCGCCGTTGGTAGATGAGGCATATGATGCATGTCATGTCAGATATATTTGAAGGGTTGCACATCAAAGGTCTGTAATGACAGATCAGATGTCCTTCTGTAGCTTCTTCGTAAGCATCTTAGAACATTTAGTTTTGCTCCAATGTGAAAAAAAAACCACCACTGTGATTTCATTCAAAATTAAGCTTTTTACTTGCTTTAATGCAATTCATTCTGAAGCTGTTGAATACACCTTCCTATCAATACATTTTTCTTGTTGTACCTAGACTCATTTAAAATTTTTCTTTTTATTCAGTAGTATTTGAGCACCCATTTACTTAGAGCAAA